TAACTTCGGGGTTAGTATGTATCCGCTCACGCGATATATGCAGCCGTAGACGCATACCACACCTAGAGGTGCCGGTGATGATTTTATACCGATTTATCGGATATCTACGTTATAACAGGTAAAAGAACTAATATTAATTGCTATTTCGGTAACCACTCTAGCAAACCATAGAGTTTTTAATGCCTGGGTCTGTCATTTAAAAAAAATAAACAACTTCAAAAATACGTCACGATAATCGTGTGTCTTATTAGGGCTAGTGATTTCGGTGTTTATTTATTGAAAACATACCGTAAGTAGCGTTTTTTAAGTTCACCCTGAATATAAATGTTTATAAACTATACTTTAAGGAGTAATTTCATGGTAAACGTTAGAACCACTCAAATGGAATATTATCATATTTATCCAAGTACACCAAACATTTCATTAGTGCTTTTTAAGTGCAAGATTTGCAGTGTATTACTTCATTTTATTTGAGATGTATTTGTTGGTAGTACGGAGGGTATTTATTTAGCAATGCAGAATAATAATTTTTATTTATAAAAACTTGTATTTAAACTGAATGCTTTTCTAATTTGCGAAACCAAATAGCCGCTTTTTTGCGGTAGGAGGAGCGCATCGCGTGAGCGGGTATATGGATGAATACAATACTATTAGAAATCTATACCAGAAATCATAAAAGCGACTAAAAATTAAGAATAATTTTAATGAAATAAAAATCGGTTACAAAGTCATCAATAACAAAAATCGCTAATAGCGAAAAAGTAAAAAAGCCGTTAGTTTGGTTTGCAACGCCTTATATAATATTCATCGCTGACAGTTGGCAGCTATGACGGTCGGTTGGCAGCTCTTGCAGAGACGTTCCTAAAAATACCTGTTACATTTCAAATGACTGTAAAGCTCAATGTTATAACTTCTTGTATATTTTCACTGCAGCAGCACTAACATGTATAATTCTATAATATCCTTGGTAATTAAACCATAACACTGCGCCGCTCCATAGATAATGCACATGGATTGTGCAGTGCACTAGCAGTACCTACATTATGTGAATAGTGCAATATGCAATTAGTGCAGCTTTTCAGGTTACACGCTGTTATTATTGTCGAATATAACGACATTATTGTCGGTTTTCTTTCACCTTCTTCCAACCACCTGTATTATACTGACGTCATTGTTAATAAAAAATAAATAAATTAAAAAAACGTAATCGACATTTCTAACGAAACTGAATATATGTATTGTGCAACTAATAGCGACTTTGTCAGGGGCATTAATTCCTCAAGTATGGGAAAATATAATTGAAGTATTGGGAATAACAAGGGCGTTCGACATCCAAAGCCCGTTTTGATGTTATTGTATCAAAACATGTAAAACACTATCTAGCAGCTTGTGACAAAAACTCATTTCGATCTTCCCTTCTAGATGGCGTAATTTTCATTCATTCAGAAGGTGGCGTGTCGCCCTTGTGGCATAGATTGTAAATGTGTGTTTGAATTTCGGACACGTTACTCTGCCTACCTGCAGTTTGTAAAAACTTATTTTAATGTAAAAAAAATGCCTGAAACGAGCGACTTCGTCCTCAACAGGGAGCATGTAGGAGGGCAGCAATGAATTTTTAAAAATACGTTTAAATTTTTTCAATGTAACTTTTAAATAAGACTGATTCACAATTTATTTCCTTAAAAAATAATAATAAAACGAACGCCCCATTAATTTACCGGTTTGGTGCAACAAGGGCGGATAACACAAGGAAAAAAAAAAGGTTTTTTCGAATGTTTCTAAATGTTTTAAAATAATAATAACACCATAATCTTTTAGCTAAATCATAGGACAAATAAATAATAAAGTATAAAAAATATAAGACATTCAAACTTTATTTTCAATTTTCACGAATCCCACTTTTACGTGATACGCCCATTTTATACCCAATGTTTCAATTGGTAAACACTCAATATAATCTGCTTGCCTAGCTCATTCCCTATAGATATATACTGTCACGTCTGTCACGGTACTACGTCACTGATACTCTTTGACAAAATTGAACACTATAAGGAACACTATCACTATTGATAGTGTTTGGTTTGGAACATGTAGTTGCTGTGAATGTTCTTGTCTGTAGATTGAAGTCGATGGTGATATTCAATAAAAATAGATGCCTACTTTATTATTAGCAGCAGTAGACCTTGTCAAAGAGTTCGTCCAGAGAAGTACTGTCACCTTACCTATTTCTGCCGCCAAGCAGTTATACGAGCATTAGTGTAACTGCGTTCCGGTTTTGAAGGGTTCAGGGTGCTGGTGAAATTACAGGCACATGGGACTTGTCAACTTGTGTCTCAAGGTAACGGGCGCAGTGGCAGTTTCTTTCAGATCTTTGCGATTTAAAACTCTGAGTGGCACTGCAACTACCGTGAAAAGGCGTGTCACTTACCTGACGCGCGACTTGCTTAAAATATTTTTTGTTCATTTTCGCAGAATTAATATACTAAGGCACTGTGAAACCTATAAACAGACTTGACCTCTAATAATTCACTGAAAACAGATGTGCTTTCACCCTCTCACAAAACCTCAAACATTCACCACACACAGCCTCCCATCTAGTCGCCAAAACTTAATATAAACTTAATTTATGTTTCCAAGTTTGGCACTGACACTGTTGAACTCTTCTATATAGATTATTGTCACAAAAGATCAAATTACTTCACGAAACGCAAGGATTTTATAAAATAATAGTTATTTTTTAACCGACTTCAAAAAAAAAGAGTAGGTTGGACTGTATGTTTTTTTTTAATGAATGTTATACGATAACTTTTTTTGAACCATATAAAAAGGGCCTTTGTAGTGAAACATATTAAAAGTACCATGTACATCTTCGCCAGCGTACATCCACGACCTTGACTAGCAGTTAAGTTCACTTATTTTCTTGGTTTGAAGCTTATATATCCTTGAATCCAGATAGACAAAATCTGGTTTCGGTCTAGGACCATCGGTTCTCACTGCTTAAAGTGTATTGAGAGAAAAACGCCTTCAATTGGAGCAAAGCAAAATCAACCATTAGAATAATTGTTCCTTATCATAAAATTTAGACGCTATTTATAAAAATGTGCCTTCATACGTGAACAGCCACCTTTAGAGTTACAATATTCTCTTCGAATTTAAGTAGAAGCACTACTGAGGTAACCCCTTTCCAACAAAAAAAAAATTGAAATCGGTTAATAAAATATCGGACTAATGTTCGCGTAACATACACAAAAAATAGAATTGAGAGCCTCCTTCTTTTTTTAAGTCGGTTAAAAATTGGCAATGGCAATTTCCAAGCAAAGCATATATGATACAGTAACAAGAATACAGTTCGTCAATTAAATACGTTACGTTCATTTGGTTCAGTAATTGGTGATTGAAATCTGTAGTGCAGTCTATTGAAACTGCATAATATCGACTCATCCGTAGAACAAAGATCTATGTGCCAGACTGCTTGTTCTCACGACGTAGTACATTTTGTTCGTTCTTCTTCATTGTGGATGTTAGACCGACCGTTGTTCGATTTGGTATTTCCGAAACGAAATAAGACATATAAATTCTCAAAACACCTGTACATAGGCCTTAGTTTGAATAAAGACTTTGTTCTTCGGATGAGTCGATATGTTTATAGGTTTGTCAGAAGCGTAGCAGGGGGATTCATAGTCTCTGCCTACGCGTGGGTAGGCAGGCGCGAAGATATTTATGTATAATATGTTTACAAAGTTATAGTAACGAGTAGTACAAAAGATAGGAAAATAATCTAAGTAAAAGTAGTGACGGACCGAACAACTTGTGTGCCTGGTGGGAAGTGACACGCTTGTGCATTTCAGTTGCAGTGCTACACAGAGCTTTAAATTGCAAAGGTCTGAGGGGCACTGCCACTGCGCCTGTCACCCTGAGATATAAGTTGACAAATCTCATGTGGGTGTAATTTCACCAGCACCCTTACCCTTCAAAACCGGAATGCAGTACGCTTGGCGGCAGAAACAGGTAAGGTGGCGGTACTTCCTTAACAAACTTTTTCACAAATAGTTCTACTGCTACTAAATATAATTATCTTTTAAAGGTTGCTTACTGAATTTATATAATCTATGAACAGAGTGCATGCGTCCTTATCACACTCGGTATAGAAATAAATTGACTATCTCTATCTTCAATTAGCAACCTGTTTATTAGAATAAACAGAACAGATATATAACAGCAACAATGATTCCGTCCACATTAACCAAGTCAGAACAGTCTGTCTAAAGTACAATAAGATACCGTATGACATCGAAGATGCAGCTTCACCGTTCAGTTTTAAGATTTAGTTAATGTAGTGGCTACTAGAAGAACAATTGTATGACTTTAAAAGAATTAAGTTTAAAAATATATTTAAATCTTAAAATCAAATGTCACAATGTAATTTCTGTCGTATCATGATTTATCTTTTATTATTTGATATTGTACAAATTTTTTTTATGACATGTAATATATGGAATAGAATGCTACCTAGTTTATTTTATAATTAATGATGAATGACGTAATCACTGACTTGAAATGTAGTATTAATGTAATGTCCGTTTTATAAACGTTGAATGGTATTGATAACTGCCTTGTAACGTGTAATATTGTTACCAATAAATAATATCATTTCATTTATAGAAATAATGACAATATTTTTGGTAACTTACGCGTGGTGCTATTAAAGAGTGCAGCTTCTTTTTTTGTTTAAAAGGATCATCGAGTGCAGTAGTAATACGACGTATGAACCTCACTACTGAATACTGTACATGCTTGACCGGTTAACCAAGTTACAGCTGAAGTTTGTTTTCTTTTAGTTCATTACCTAAACCTTCTTATAGGTAAAGTTCTTTTTTTATATACGAAGAACCTCAAATTACAAGTTGTTTTGTAATCTGAGCGAAAAACATGCATTGCTAGTTTTATCTCAGCTATTGTCTGCCGATACATGTCATTGAATACTATATCTTCGATAGATCATGGTACGCAACAAGTAAGAGGAAATTTCCAAGTCAACGCGATCCTAAAGATTTTGTATACGAATAAGATGAAACAGCCCGAAGCTTACTACACGGGATTTTAATATTTCTTACGGAGGAATAAAAATGTTCTTCGCCGAAATTACTTGTCATTTGTACGAAGAGAAGTCGCGCGGAAGACGGAAGGGCGTTGTTACTATTGATTCTCGATAGCCAGTCGGTTTTATTTTATTTTTGTTTTATTTAATAAGTTACAACCACACACTTTCCTCAAAATATAAACAAGTCATTTAATTTCTAATACATACTTAACCCATTAACGAGTACACAACATTTACATTATTTTTTTTATAGTATCAAGTAACGGGACGAGTCGTGTGTCTGATGACAAACTACACGCGTGTCCATAACAGTTGCAGTGCCACTCAGAGGTTTAAATCGCCAACATCTGAGGGGCATTGTCAATGCGCCCGTCACCCTGAGACATAAGCTGGCAAGTCTCAGGTGTCTGTAATTTCACCAGCGCCCTAACCTTTCAAAACTGGAATGCGGTAATACTAGCATTACCTACTGCTTGGCGGCAGAAATAGATAAGGTGACAGTACTTCCCTGGACGAAATCTTTCACAACGAGCTCTACTGGTGCTTAATTATTTGTCGCATTAGTTTAATAAGCAATTTAAATTTGAAATAATTAGACAGTGCTAATTCACACCTCGTGCGATTAGAACGTGCCTGTTGCGAGAAATCGAAAGTATTGGTAATAAGGAAACCGGTTGTATTTTACCTGAGAGCCCACTCGGCGTCAAGCTGGTCGGTCTATTGTTCTCACGAGTGTTGAATACAATGGGCTTTATCTCTAATTGCTAATGAGTTTGATTGCAGTGATAGTAGACTTTACGTGAATAGTAATAACGATTTGATGTTAGAAGAATTTGATAATTTAGAGGACAATAAACAAATTGATATAGGAGACATGGACTTAGAAAATACACTAATAGGCAAAAGACGAAGAGAACATAATGAAGAAGAAGAGTGGACCACGATAACCAGAAATCCAAAAGAACAGAAATACGCAAAACCCCTCCAACATTCTACCCATACAGGTTTCGGTCGTAACAAAGGACAAATTACTGACGTCTTCTTGCAAACTACTTGCGTCTGGCACGGTATGCAAGAAGACGTCGGTTCGAATCCGACCGGA